ATCGATCGCGGGTCCGGCGTCGTTTTCGTCCGTCTCAACCGAGGGGGGTAGTCCTGACGATGGAAGCAAGTTCCAGGAGCCGGCGATGGATGACCTGATCAAGGCAGTCTTTGGCGATAAAAGTATCACGCTGAACTGCAACGCAGGAGAGTGTTTGTATAGAACAGACGTCCCCGGATATACTCGCCCTGTCAAACAGATCAACACCCCTCTCATTGCTGGCGTCATTGCAGGATGTGCTCTCTTCGTCGTGGCTGTGATCTTGGCAGTATGGTACTTGTCGCGCAGGTCTTATGGTCGCATACAACTGCCCCTCTCCGACGACTCTGACGATGAGGCGGCCAAACTCCTAGCCGAACACAAGCCAGCAGCCCTGTACTGGGACAATGTCTCATATTATCTCAACGGGAGGGAAATCCTCAGTGGTATCCAGGGTGCGTCCCAACCCGGTCAAATCACGGCTATCATGGGTGCTTCAGGAGCAGGCAAGACCACCTTCCTTGACATCCTTGCTAGGAAGAACAAAAGAGGCACGGTTCGTGGTGAATTTTATATCAATGGAGAGAAAATCAGCGACCATGATTTTAAGTCTATGATTGGTTTTGTCGATCAAGAGGACACTATGCTTCCTACTTTGACCGTGCATGAGACTATCCTGACCAGTGCGTTGCTGCGGCTTCCCCGGGACATGAGCCGAGCTGCAAAGGAACAACGAGTATTCGAGGTCGAGAAGCAGCTTGGAATATTACACATCAAAGATCAATTGATCGGATCCGAGGAAGGTAAAGGCCGAGGCATATCTGGCGGTGAAAAGCGACGAGTGGGAATCGCTTGCGAGCTTGTCACGAGCCCCAGTATACTTTTCTTGGATGAACCCACTAGTGGCTTGGTGAGTCTTGAAATCCCGGTACATGCAGCATTCGCTCACAAGCTCAATTAGGACGCGTTCAATGCCTTCAATGTTGTGGAGTGCCTGGTGACTTTGGCAAAGACATACAACCGGACTGTCATTTTCACCATTCATCAGCCGAGATCCAACATCGTGGCTCTATTCGATCGACTTATCCTTCTTGCTAAAGGAAAAACTGTCTACTCTGGCCCATTCTCGACATGTCAACAATACTTCGATCAGGCGGGATACTCTTGCCCTCCGGGCTTTAATATCGCTGATTACCTGGTTGATCTTACGATGCATGCCAGTGTTACTCGCTCTTACAGCGACGAAGTCGGATCTCCTTTGTCGAGTGCGCGTATGGACCCCCCCAAGACAGCTTCGAGCAGTTTGAGAGCGGTTAAATCCGTCGCAAGCGCATCAAACGTAAGCCTGGAGGATAATTCCAGCAGTACCTTGGAAGCGAACCGACGGCCTAAGAGTCAGCGGCGAGTCTCGCTCAAACAACGACAGGACAGGCAACTATACTCACGGAAAAAGGACCCTGAGGCACCGTCTACACCCAAAACTGATGAAGAGGATGTGCAATTGGATGATGTGGCGGACAACACTCAGCAATGGCTACGTCTATCCCGTCAACCTGCCATTATACCGAACCAGACTTCCGAAGAACCCGATTATTTACCCCCTGTCGCTCCAGGCCAGACAGATCTTGATATCCTGGTCTCCAATTACATCTCGTCGGATATTGCCCGTTCTGTGCATGACGAAATTGTGGCCGCCATCCAGAATGCTCGGGCGGCCAACGGATTCGCCAATCCGGAAGCTCTCTCTGCTCCTCATGTTGTAACATCTAAGGGTTATGCTCGGATTGGCCTCTTCCGCCAATTCTTGATTCTCTCACAGCGGACCTGGAGGAACCTGTACCGCAATCCGATGTTGATGCTTACCCATTATGCGATCTCCATTCTGCTTGCTGTCCTGTGTGGTTACCTCTTCTATGGGCTGACTGACGACATTAAGGGCTTCCAGAACCGACTGGGTCTCTTCTTTTTCATCCTAGCATTATTCGGCTTCAGTACCCTGACTAGTCTGACCGTCTTCTCATCGGAGCGACTTCTTTTCGTACGTGAGAGAGCCAATGGCTACTACCATCCGATTACCTATTTTGCGGCTAAAGTGGTGTTTGACATCGTACCTCTTCGACTTCTGCCACCAATCATTATGGGGATGATTGTGTATCCAATGACGGGTCTGATTCCAGCCTGGGGCGAGTTTTTCCGATTCATTCTGGTGCTGGTGCTCTTTAATCTGGCCGCCGCGAACATTTGTCTTTTCATTGGTATTATCTTCCGTGACGGAGGAGTGGCCAACTTGATCGGAAGTCTTGTGATGTTGTTCAGTCTCCTGTTTGCCGGTCTTCTGCTCAACCACGACGCAATTCCCAAGTCTGCTTTGTGGCTACAAACGGTAAGTTGGTCACCAATACATTCGGCCCTCACACATTGTACCCTGCTGACCGCTCGTCTAGCTATCTATTTTCCACTACGGCTTTGAGGCATTGATTGTCAATGAAGTGACGTATCTGACCTTGATCGATCACAAGTATGGACTGGATATAGAAGTTCCGGGCGCCTCGATTCTGAGTGCTTTTGGGTTTGATACCCTTGCCTTGTGGAAGGATGTTATCGGGCTGGCCGTCATCTCCGGCGCCTTCATTGTGATTGCATATGGCGCGATGCATATCCTGCTTGTTGAGAAGCGGTGACGGCAATGTATCTCACTTGAGCGAAACCCTAGGTGTGGCCTCAATTCGGTCGCATCTTATCTGGAGGGGTTGTTTCTAGGATTTTCTTACGTTATATGTACTTTGTATGATGGAACACGTTGATGAGACCTTTTCTATGCGGCCTTTCTTCTCTTTTTCGTCTGTTCTCAATTTTGTTTTTGAAGCCATGATTTTCAAGCTGCTGTCAATGACCAGTTACATTGTATATAGACGAATGATCATCCATTTGATCCCTCACTGGGCACAGGCAGTAGCAAGTCATCCCTTTGCGGAACGAAGCACGTGTTCCCCCACGTCATTGGTAGTCAGCATCATGGCTGGCTAGTTTTTGCACGTGAATACTGAAATGGGATCGGACCCAACAGGTGGGGTTGACGTGGAAGGTCTGACTGAGAAAAAGGTCAGTTGGATGGCAGAAGGACACAATTTCCCCTCATCAATAGATTGAACTACAGTGCTCTGGCGTATAACTACTCACGTCAGAGTCAGGACGCCATAAGCGGTGACTGTAATCCCCAGACCGGTTCACCGCCTTGGCCAGCTTCCCGAGTCCCTTCGCGGCTTTTCCCTATCGGGGCGAATCCACAACCGACTCACTTATGAACTTCACCACCTGCTCGCATCCTCCACCTTTCTCTACTCTCTTCTCCTCTCGTCCTTTGGTCTTCCTCTCGTAGCGCTTACCGTCGGCCTCTATTGCTTTTCAGCTTGTCTCTTACTCTATTCTCTCGAGTCTTTTCTCTTGCGGTCTTCAATAACTTTCTCCCAAGCCCATATTTTTGCCCACCATGTCCGGTGAAGCCTGGCTCTACCTGTTGGCGGTGTTGATCAACGCCGTCAACTTGTTCCTTCAAGTCTTCTTCACGATTATGTACAGCGACTTGGAATGGTAAGAACTGAATCCCCAGCACATTTTGACTGACAACGACCCGAGCCGGGCGTGTGATCTGATTGCTTTGGCGAATGCATCGCGACGGAACCTATTCGAAGAGCTACAGCTAACTTGAGCCTTCTACAGCGACTACATTAACCCGATCGATCTCTGCAACCGTCTCAACGCTTACATTATCCCCGAAGCTGCTGTCCATGCATTCCTTTCCATCCTCTTCGTCATCAATGGCTACTGGGTCGCTATTGTGCTCAACTTGCCTCTGTTGGCGTTCAATGCCAAGAAGTGCGTTACTCTCGCAACCACCGCCCTCGCAGGCGCAACGGGTCTTTCGACATATTCGCTAACCACATTCCCCCCACTACAGGATCTACGAGAACCAGCACTTGTTGGATGCGACCGAGATCTTCCGCAAGCTCAACGTGCACAAGAAGGTCGGTTTGCCTCGCCCATCGGCTTTACGTCACACATTCTTGGCGAAGTGCCCGCTAACCACCATACAACCATAGGAATCCTTCATCAAGCTGGGCTTCCACCTGATCATGTTCTTCTTCTACCTTTACAGCATGATCGTTGCTCTTATCCGCGACGAGTCTCACTGAATTCGCAACAAGGCGGAGCACGCGATGCGCAACGGCCGTCCGGGCTAATGTATCGCGAGGCGTCAAGCCTTGTCCTCTCGTTGAAACGGCCTGGATGAAGCATGGTTCTGCAAGTATCAATCTCGCTGCTGCAGCCCGATTGGGTTGGATTCGCCGTACGGCACATATCTGCTGGGGTGCATTCGATGCGACCAGGCGCCTGCAGCAGGAGAACTTGTATATGACGTGACTATGAAAGATTATCATTGACGACAACGACAATGTGAAGGTGAATTTGAGCTATTGCGGTTTTGGTTTTTTTAATCCCGAACTCGAGGAGTGGACGATGGAGGAGCGCCCTCCTATCGTGCGTCAGGGCCTTGGTCCTTGAGGCTATGTGTATGTGTGTCTAATTTCGATTTGCTTTATTTTTGCTTTGGTTCTCTGATATTGTTATATTCCTTGTTGATGTCTTCCATAATGCTGTATATACCTTCAGCGGTGTGACAATGAAGAGCGTACGATACCCTAGGTGTCTTCCAATATCATCTCCAGGTGGCTCGGATGGAGTAGTCTGACATGATATGTAGACCTCTAGGATGTCAAGTATGGCCTCGGATACCGGTTAATAACCGGTATCATCGATAGGCTCTCTTCAAGGATTATGGATAGTTGTGGATCAAGCATTCGCTTTTAGACTATATAGTGTACGGAGTAGACATACTGAGAAGCTACCTCGACCTCGGCGGGCATCCGTACCGCAAAGGCGGTCATGGCCGCGGCTTCCGCCCGCCCAAGTCGCCGGAGAACCTCGACAAGCCCGGATCATCCAATCTGTCTACCTTTTTACACGACCTGTCCAAATTCTGTTCACCTGATCCCATACCTTGCAGACTTGCATCCCGAAGCAGTCTGATATCGACAGAAATGCTTCTATCCGCCTAAGACTCCGCTCTTTTCTTGGCCGCCATGTCGGACGCCCGCCCTCGGTTGGCTTTGTCACGATACCGTCCGATTCTCTACCTCCTCTCCGGTGTGGCAGCAGCCTACGCAATCGTCTACATACGGCAACACCTCCTTCACCCCGGGGATACTGGCGGAAATTCTTCTCCTAGTGTCTCACGTCTACATCGCCGCCGCGCTGTGCGCCGCCAGCGACGCAACAACAGCAGTAACAACGAACTCCCCGACGAGTCCTTCTCCGCCGCGGCGGACACTCCCTCATCGCGGGCCATCGCGCACCTCGAACAGCTCGAGCGCCACAATGGTGTCTACGGAACCTTCCGCATCGAGACCGAAGATGGCCGCCGCGTGGAAAGCGGCCTCCTCCCATCTCTCCTAGCGACGCGAGACCAGCTCATGGAGCAGGTCGGGGTGCCCCAGGACCACGCGGAGCGGATGCGGGAGATGATGGAAGATACCTTCCTGGAGTCTTTCCTCGCGCTGGACTTTCCCTCCAGTCACCGTCTGGACGAAGGCAGCCCCGAGCGGGAGTATCTGATCGAGCAACTCCAGCGGCGGGGGATCTCGCGCGCGGGCATCGAGCGGGCCCTGGTTCGGTTCAACGCGGACGATAACTACGGAGCGGATCTGCGACGACGGCGGCAGAATGGCGAGCGAGTCACGCTTTCAACGTCGAGCTTCCCGTACGAGACCGAGGAAGGCCAGTCGCCCATGACCGGGGTGCACAATGCCACGCTGGCGGACGGCGGGGATGAGACGGTCGTGGATGACCAGAGCGTGTTCTCGTGGCGCGACGGCGCGGAACACAACAATGAGGCGGCGCCGATGCGCGATGGCCAGAACCTGCTGAACCTGCTGTATCACATCGCGGAGGACCAGGCGAGGAGGGATGGGTATATTCACCGCGGGGTGACGTGTAATAGCTGCGGTGCGATGCCGATCCAGGGCATCCGGTATCGATGTGCGAACTGCATCGATTATGACCTGTGTGAGACGTGTGAAGCCATGCAAGTCCATATCAAGACGCACATGTTCTACAAGGTGCGCATCCCCGCGCCATTCCTTGGCAGTCCACGTCAGTCGCAGCCGGTGTGGTATCCAGGGAAGCCCACGATGATGCCGCGCAGCTTGCCGAGATCGTTGTTCAAGCGGCTGATGAAGGAAACTGGGTTCGAGAACACCGAGTTGGACGCGCTATGGGATCAGTTCCGGTGCCTGGCAAATCACGAATGGGAGGACGATCCGAACAAGGTGTATATGGCAATCGACCGGAAGACGTTTGATCGGTGCTTCGTGCCGAACACTTCTCTTAGACCACCGCCCCCGAGTTTGATTTATGATCGCATGTTCGCGTTCTACGACACTAACAATGACGGGCTAATTGGTCTGGAGGAATTCCTGAAGGGTATCGCGAGTCTGAACAATAAGAGCAATGACGAACGGCTTCGCCGTGTCTTCCGGGGCTATGATATTGATGGTGATGGCTTCGTTGAGCGGAAGGATTTCTTGCGGATTTTCCGAGCTTACTACGCCCTCAGCAGGGAGTTGACTAGGGATATGGTTGCCGGCTTGGAGGATGATTTTCTGGAAGGCAGCGCTCGGGATGTCGTTCTTGGAAGCCAGCCGATCAGTTCCGCGTTTCCTGGTAGCATTCCTAATGGAGAGCCCTCACGGACGGGTGAGGGGAAGCGTGTCAATCATGACGGAGATCTCGAGATTGTCGATAATGAAGGAGTACTTCGTCTCGATGGGACGGATACCGGCGACCGCTACTCGGTGATTGGCGATGCTGCCGTTCGAAGCTATTATGGCGTCACGCGGCCGGTGTTGCCGACGACGCGCCACTCTGTTCCTGGCTCTGCCCAAGCTTCTGGAAGCCAGCCGAGAAGAGAGACAAATGTCGAAGAAGCCGGGGCTGCAGCTGATGATGCGTCCAGTTCGTCTGGAGCCAGCGACCGCTGGCCTCCTCCGGAGCACATCCGCAACGAGGACATTGTCAGTGCGCTTGGAGCTTATGTTCCGGTCCATGAGATCACAGATCCCGTTGATCGGGCTCGCATCGGCACGGCCGTATATAACAGGATGTATGCTACGGATCAAGTTCGTCTCCACGTCACCCGCCGAATGGGAGTTCATGACCGATGGAGACGGCGGGGATTCTACACGGACGAAGAGGATGGCGCCACCGCCCCTGTTGGCTATCAAAGTGACATGGACGCGGCTAGCTCAGATGAAGAGGAAGATAACGAGGGTGATGAATCACACGCAGCCGCATCGGAGTCACACCCACCGTCACCTCGTTCTCGCTCCTCGTCCAAAGTGCGATTCCAGGATGACCTGACGGACGACTACGACGTGAGATCGAACCCATCGACCTCGTCGCGAAGCATTCTTGTGAGTGAGCGATGGGGCGGCTTCGAAGTCCCTGAAGTGGAAAGGGACGTTGGAAAGGAGATCTTGTATCAAGTCACCCAGCAAGGGTTCAACGAACTGCTCGATATCCTATTCAAGCAGAAGGAGGATCTACTCATGGAGGTTTACGAGACTCGTGCCGAGCGTAAGATATGGGCCCGTGAGATTGAACTTACAGAACAGATGGAGCATGGTAAACAGGCTGCTCAAGAACTTCCCATCGTGCAGCCGGAATCTGAAGCCGATGAGGACGCCGATGAGGAGGAGGGAGCAGAGGCAGCCATGCAGAGCATGCTCCGTGACAGTTCGCTCGACGACCTCCTCCAACGGGCCGGGTACGCCGTCGAGGGACTAGAAAACGTGCAGGCTTTGGCACCTCCGACGCCTGACTTGCATATCCCTGATGACTCGGTGGAGTCACTCATCGACCCTGCCGAGACAGGACCTATTGCTGCTGCTGCGGCATTAGCGTCACCATTGAATATGCCCGTGGGATTTGGGGACAACGAGGACTGGATTCCGCCTCACGTAATCTCTCCCTCCTCGCCTTCCCTCTCTGCCTCGTCTGTTGCCTCCGAAGCAGCAGCAGAAGCAGAGAGTAGGCCTTCGTCCGCCGCGGCATCATACTACGATCCCACACTTCCCCACCACCGTCCCAACGAGGAAGACCTCCTCACGACCACAACCACAAGTACCTTCCACCAAACCACCAGCCGCAGCCTATCCCCATCACCGGCTCTCCTCTCCCGCCACCGCACCGACCTCCCCACCGAGCTGCGTCTCGACCCCACCGGCTCAACCTCCTTCCCAGCACCCACCTCGCACCTGCCCGCCTCCTCCCCCGACGCCGAGGCCACCGCCCCCAAACTCTCCCCGTCGCCCATCCAACCCCTGCCCCCACCGTCCGCCACCCTCCCGAAACGACCCAGTCCGACCCTGCCCCCGTCGCCGGTCACGCTGTCGCGCTGGGCGTACCTGAACAAGATCGAGCGCGAGGCCAAGGAGCGCGGCGGCAGCGGCGCGAAGCTCAACTTCGAGGAGTTCGCGCAGCGCATGGCGATGGATCGCGGGCGCACCCTGGCGTTCGTGGCGAGTTGGATTGAGATGGCGAGTTTTTAGTGTCTGCAGCACAGTGCAGTAACCTCTACAGTTCGAGTCAAGACAGGGCAGTTGTCAGGGCGGGTCTGATATCTTCTATGTGTATAAGTACAGTACAGTATCGTTTATCTGTTCTAGTCTATAGCGGTGGGTGAGAATGGGTTGGGGAGTCAATCAGCATTCACGAGGATAGGGCGAGTGACTAAGGCCGTCACTGTGTATACATCTTATCTTACCCTACTGCTCCTCTGTGATAAGCCATCCAGCAACTTAAGGAAGAAAGTCCGTGGATGTTAGGCGTTATAAAATGTACAGTACACAAGTTAGTGCGATGCCTATACGTGACATTGGGAAAAAAGAGAAAAAAAAAAAGCCTTTATATGGAAAGCAACATTATACCATAAACACCGTTGTATGTATCCCTTTTAGAAAAAAACAAACAGAAGATGAAAAAGATCAACCTAAAGCAACAAAGAAAAAAAGGGCAACTTAATCCCAATAGCGAATAATCCCATCCAAGCCGCCGGTGACAACCTTGCTGGTCTCCTGGGGATGCCAGTCGAGACAGGTGGTGGCGCCGCCCTCCTTGCCGCCGGCGAGGATCTTGTGGTACATCTTGCCGGTCTTCCAGTCCCAGAAGCAGACGTAGCCGGCGCTGTCGCCGGAGGCGAGGAACTGGCCGTCGGGGGAGCAGCGGATGTCGATGCCGTAGCCGGCGTTGTTGTGGCCGCGGAAGCTCTTCTTGCGGTTCTGGCGGAACTTGTCGGTGGCGCCGTAGACGACGATCTGGTTGTCGCCGGACTGGAAGGCGACGTACTTGCCGTTGGGGTGCGGGGCGGCGCGCGTGAGGGCGAACATGTACGGCTCGGCGATGAACTTGATGGGCACGGGGATGCCGTACTCCCAGGCGCGCAGCGACTTGTCGTCCGAGGTGGAGATGAAGCGCCGGTTGTCGTCGACGAAGGTGATCGTGTTGATCGCCGCCAGATGGTGGTCGTACTCCTGGACCAGCGCGCCGGACCGCGTGTCGAACTGCACGATCTTCTTGTCGGACATGCCCGCCAGGAACTCGTGCGCGAGCTCGGGCGACGGGTTGAACCGGATGACGTGCGGCGTCTTGCCCGTCGAGAACCGCCCCACGCACTTGCCGTACTCGGTGTCCCAGAGCTTGATCTGCCGGTCGTACGAGGCCGTGAGGAAGGTCGTCCCCGTCGGGTGGAAGTCCGTGTCCGTGATCGCCTTGCTGTGGCCCGAGAAGGTCCGCAGCAGCTCGCGCGAGTGGTACGCGTCCCAGATCTTGGCCTGGCCGTCCGCGGCCGCCGACAGGAGCAGGTGGCCCGACCGCGGGAAGAAGCGCAGCGAGGTGATCGCCTTGGTGTGCGACCTCCACGTGTGGATGAGTTTCTTGGGGATGAAGTTCTTCGTGCTGCCGGGCTCCCGGCGGAGGTCGATGTCCAGGTCCTGCGGGATGTGCATGTACGTCCGGCCCTGGTAGTCGAACTGCTCGCTGCCGTGGAACTCGGTCGTCTCCGCGGTGGTCGAGTCGTCCTGGTAGTCGGTCGCCAGCTTGTCCATGGGCGGCGGGATGTGCGAGGGCGGCGCCTGGGCGGCGTCCAGCTCGTCCTCGTCCTCGTACACGTATTCCTCGTCGCTGGCCAGCTCGCGATCCCCCCCCGCCTCGTCGCCGTCCACGGCCCGCTCGTCGTAGTAGTGGTCGTCGGACTGGTATTTCGCCCACGGGCCCAGGTAGGCGCCCTCGCCTTCGACGATGCTCGGGTCGCCCTTCCGCTGCCGCTTGGAGCGCAGCGCCGCGGAGACGGCCTTGGACGGTTTCATTTGGATCACGTCGCGGCCGCCGAACTGGGCGGCGTGGGCGAGGTTGCCGACGAACTGCTCGGGCTGCGTCGGGTTGCGCGTGTAGCCGAGACTCTGGAAGGTGCGGTGCTGCGCCGTGAAGGTCGCTTCGCTGATCGCGGCCTCCTCGGCGTATCCGGTGGGGACATTCTTGCGCTTGAGGCCGTGGGCCCCTCCGGTGGCTTTGAACGGGTTGGCCGGGCCTTGCGACGGTCGGGAGAGGTCATCGTATGTGGCGTTGTAGGTCAGGGCGGTCGAGGAGGTGTTAGCTAGCATCATCTGCATGTGTGCTTGGTCCTGTAGGACTGTTAGCTATGCGGGGCTTTTGGAGGTGCTGTATGGCGAGGAGAGTTCGCATTCTTCAAGGGCCATCCAGCAGAGAGAGGAATCTCAAGGGACCAAACCTCTGTGTTCACTTCGGGCGCGGCGACAATCTTGGTCGCAGACGGCACCGGGGCTTGAGTTTGAAGGGCGGAGGAAGTGGTGTCATCGTCGCTTGACTCATAGCCAGCTCCAAGTAAGGACGACATGACGACTAATGGGGTTGCGATCCGAAAAAGGAACTGGATCGTTGTTTATCGGAAAGATGGAATGAAGCTATCGGAGGCTGCTCTGCATCTCTCCTCCGGGTCGGAGCTACAATGTTCCGTCCTATCTATCATCACTACTAAGTCACTCCGTACATCACCCCAATTGATGTGGCCTTTGAACTTGACAATAATATTTGACAATATTTCTTGTACGAGGTAGGACGGAGAAAGTGCATATTGCTGATTGGTGACCATAGACACGAGAGATAAATAATCTGTCAATACAGTATGAACATCACGGCCCCCCCCGATGCAAATCAGCTCAACTCATCAGTATCCGGAGCACTCAGAACCAATTCTCCTGATCTCCATTGTGGCTCAGGAACAAGCCACTATCCTCGATATCCAGATGCTCTACCACCTGAAGAACCTTTCTAACACTCTCCTCCGGCAAAATCTTGCCCTCGAGATCAGGCTTTGCCGCCTGAAACTGCTTCAGCAAGAAGTTATCCGCTTCCACTACCGGAGCGGGTTTCTCTCCTGCGACGATGCAGTCAGTTATCTAGCTTGTCTGAGGCGATAAAGGCAGAGCTACTTACCCTCCCACGTATCCACCCAGCCAGGGCTCACAGCCACCACCTTGATGCCCTTCGGCGCCAGCTCTACTGCGTACTTGGCGACTTGAACATTCACAGCGGCCTTGGCGATAGAGTACGCGACCGCCACGCTGACCGCAGCCTTCTTGATGAACGCCGTGTCGGCCATCCCGGTGGAGATGTGCACGATCTTCTTCTGGGTGCCCTTCTCGATCAGGGGCAGGAAGGCGTTGGTCGTCCAGAGGCCGCCGTAGACGTTCGTACTGAGCGACGGCTCGAAGCTGGCCCGCATGGCCTGCGCATCAAAGGGCATCTGGGTCGGAGTGTAGGACATGGAGGCCACATCCACGGCATTGGAGTTGTGGATCAGCACGTCGAGCGACCCGCCGGTGACGGCGGCTGCGGCCGCGGCCGCCTCGAGGACCGACTGGGGGTCCGTAACGTCGCCTTTGATGGCGTGCACGTTGGGGTGCTTGGAGGTCAGCTCGGCGATCTCGGGCGATTCGGGGTTTCGCACGATGGCCAGGACTGTGTTGTTGGTATCGGCTGCGAGTTGGCGCACGAACTCGCGGCCAATGCCCTTGGAGGCTCCGGTGATAGCGTAGGAAGACATAATTCTTCGATTGGGATGGAGATGATCTGGTCAGATGACTTGCTCAGACGAGTGGATTGATGGGTGATGTGTTGTTGATATCATTGTAAGAATGCGTTCGATTTCACTTCCTTATATATTCTTCAAGTTCTCGTATACTGTGATGCTCATGCATTGGGCGGGGATCCCACCCGCTCCGACCGGACGATCCGTTCCCCCCCCGGTCCACTTGATTAGCAAGCTGGAACGGGCGGGCATCGGCCGATCCTACTCGATCGGCCGCTCCGTTCCCTGTCCCAAGTCCCCGCCCCCGACTTTCGTGACATGATGAATGCCACCGTACCTGCAGTCAAGAGGAGGGCATGCGCAACATGCACAGCTGCCAAGGCAAAATGCACGCCCCAGACTGTCAACATGTGCCAGCGATGCGCTCGTTTGGGCAAACCATGCACCTACCTTGACCTTCCGCAGACGAAACGCAGGCATAAGGCTGCACCGACTGCCCCGAGGTAGGTCTCCACACATACATTACTATAGCACTCGCTGGTATTGATCAGGAAGCAGCCGTGTGGAGGTGCTAGAGAGGAAGGTCGAACAGCTGATGTCGCAGCTGGTTGCCTTGAGCCAACCGAACGGACACACATCGCCGGGCACGTCTACTGCTCCGCTCACCACCCACGACGGGGCCTCATCTCGGGATGCAGATGCAGATTTGGGTTCGACAGACATTGCGGCGATGCTCGACGCTGCTAAGGACTCGTCGCACGGGCTCGATCCGCCGACCGGCTCCGCTCTGGCGGGCCAGCCGACCATCGTCGAGCGAGGGCTCCTGAGTGCAGCCGAGGCGGAGCGCTTGGTCGCGAGCTTCCAGCGCGACTTCGTGCTCACCTTCCCCTTTGTCGTGCTCGCGCACGGCGAGACAGCCGCTCGTCTGCGGGCTCGCGAGCCGTTCCTGTTCCTGTGCGTCGTGGCCGCGACCATCGGCAGTGCGCATCCGCTGCGCAAGACCGTCGCCGAGGAGATCATGAAGCACGTTACGTGCCGAGTCGTGGAACGCTCCGAGCGCAATCTCGAGTTGCTCCGCGGTCTGTTGGTGCACTGCGCATGGTACTCGTACCCTGCGGAGAAGAATCATCCGCGACTACTGTTATTGATCCAGTTTTGTGTTTCGATGGTACACGATCTGGGACTGCACAGGAAGCCTGCCCTAAGTTCTGATGAGCAGCGGGCGCTGCTCGGTACGTTCTGGGTATCTATTGGGTGAGCTCGTCTGCGCTGGCTCAATGCATTCCTTCGGCTAACTCTAGATGTTACATCAGTGTCTGTGGCACGCTCGACCGACCGATTACCATGAAGCATGATGGTCGAACCGAGGAGTGCCTCGCGAAGATAGCATCTGCCGAACATCCGTCGGATCGGTGGATTGCGCCGTTCATCCGTCTAGAGTCCTTCTTGGTAACAATGGAGGAAGTTTATGCGTCGGTACAAGCAAGCGGGGGACGAATACTCGTCCAGATTACGCGGGGCGCTCTACAGCGGCAACTCGATAGCCTGAGGGCGGACATAGAAAAGGATCTCCCAAGCTACCCTTCATCGACAGGTGCGTTTCCTATCTCCTCGGACAAATCCGAAGAAATTGACATAGACCCAAACAGCGAATTCAATCCGCATTGAGATCAAACATGCGGAGCTACGGCTCGAGGCACTATCTCTCCGAGAGGACCTGTGGACCGCAGAGCCCGCCAGCGCAATCCGGACGACGATGCTGATGGACCTCATCCAGCGAAGCCAAGAGCTCATCCGCACGGTCAGCCACCTGCCCGTGTCGGAGATCGCCCAGATCTCGATAACAACCACTGCCCATGTATGCGCCGCCGTGGGCTTTGTGCCCACCGCCGTCTTTGCCCTTCTCCGACTCATCACTACCACCCCCATTACCCCCGGTAACCCCGCCACCAACGACTCCGCCACAGAATCCCAAGTACAGGCCGTAGTCGACGCAGCCGACTATCCCAATCTCATCACGGAGCTCGCCAACGCGCTGGACACGCAGTTCGAGGGCATGTCGACTGCCGCCAAAGAGGCGGACGTCACGGGCAGCCTGTGCTTGAAAATGCGGCTGCTCGCCCGGTGCTACCCCTATCAGATTCGGGCAGTTGTAGGTAGTGCTGCTGCTGCTGCAGCAGTACCTCCTGCTGCTGTTGCAACTGCGCCCTCCCAACCTGCAGCCTCAGGGCAGGATATGTCGATGATGGCCGTTGACGCCGCCGATGAGGCTCCCATTACCATGCCACCACCCCAGGTCTGGCTGTCTGTCTACGGCGATCTGGACGATATTTTTCCTGTCGATGACATCCAGTGGGATTCTCTGTTGAGCAATTTCACGGGGTTTGGCTAGGCTAGTTGAGCCGGATTATGCTTTCTGGGGGGGGGGGTTATCTCTTCGTAACATCCATATGCAGTATGCAGTGTTTCTTTTTTTCTTTTTTTTTTCTTTTTTTTTTTTTTTTTCCCCTTTTTTTATGAGATATGATGAACTTTTCTGTAAATATATCTGCTCTGTCTAGATGCATGAGAACAAAGACCAGTGGGAGGTACGAGATCACGGCCCGTGTGATGATACCCGGTGGGAAACGGGTGGAACGGGTGGAACGGGTGGAACGGGTTTTCCGGCGCGGGTTGACCGGGTGGAATAGTCTCAGTCGGCAGTTGTAGATCGAGGATGAATTTCTAATGGCACGGTGGAGATTATGCAATCCTCTGCACTCGTAATCTAGGCAGTGTGTTCCTGAGCCCCTTGAGAATACTTAGGTCGTACCTTTGTTCCTTTTCCCGGCCTACAATATCCTAGGCTGTTGGCTCATCTACAAAAGTGCAGCATCAAGTCGGACCTGAAGTGGTCAGGTTGGTAAGGGCACGTGCTCAAGTGGTTATAGTAGATAATCCCAAACATCTATGCAAGAAAGTGGGCAAGGATTCGGAATCTGGATTCCAAAGAGCCTAAGTATAATGTAAAGATTCAGCATATCATTCACAGTGTCATGAGTGTAGACTGATTCCACCTTTACGAAAGTAATGAGAGTGTGAAAGACTATGGATTCTGTGCTAGCTAGCTAGGGCTATTGACATCAAAACCGGAGGGGTATATCAATGAAACTTCTTCCCGGGCCGGTGATTACGAAGAAGGCAAAAAAGATGTGAGAAACGACCTTACGACTCTACGACTCGCTAATTTGGGCAGGACATTCGACCGCCTCTGAGGGAGCCTCCCAACCTTTCCTCCATGAGAAATATCATCAGCGTTAGCCTGCCTCCCACTGTATGTTGCACTAGCTGCTCCCCCCGCCGCGGATCGTGACAGGACAGGTCCCCGGCAGGCCCAATGCAGTCCAATTGGCAGCGACAGATCTCAAATGGCTACGAAGCTTCGAAATCCCATCAACCAGGTACAATGATTCTCGGCATCGAAATAGTCCACTCAGGTTGCGATCGAGATTCATCGCCTCATGTGTCAGGTGACTGTCGTGCTCAACTATGCACATTTCGTAATACCTGGACCGAGCAAGTATATCTTGTGCCTTGAGGGCGCTTTGCTTTTGCTCCGGACTCCAAGAAGCGAACCCGGCTAGGCTGGGGAGCGGGTCGCCAGGGTTATAGTTGGGAGGGGTTGTTAGGAACGTGGGGAATCGCGTTTGGAGAAATAGGGGGAGGATGGCGGAGGACCGCCAGCCGATGATCCCAAGAACTTTTGTAGGGTCAGTGGCCGAAACGAGGATATTGTCAAGTGATAGGCCTGGATGCCATAAGGTGGGCTTGGAGACCTTCAGAATGCGGTGATCCGAGCATAAAATAGGTAATATGGTCGAAATGCTCTCAAGCAAATCCAGACTCTCTGTGTCCGGAAGGTCGGAGTTCTCGTGCACTGTGGATCGAACTTCGCCCCCGTCATCCTTTTGACAGGGTTGCTTAATCCTTGTCATTAGTTGAGTTGACAATGATGCGAACTCTGCGAGTGATGCCCCTACGACAACGATTAAGAGATGTTGGGGATTCCAGGGTGAACAAAAGGTTGAGGGAAGAGACCACTAACAGGGGCCGGAGGTGCCTGGATCCTGGGGTGACTCAACACCACTCTGCTCGGAGCGCACATTACACAGCGGTCCAATGCAGAAAGAGTCTGCGCTGTCTCGCGCGTCCGCGATGTGATAATGTCCCAGGTTAGCAGGTTCAAGAGCCCCGTAGATAGAGTGCCCCATAGGCTGGAAACTCCAGACAGGCAAGCTCCTTTTCCATAGTGACGACCTTTTCGATAATACTGTACCGTTGCAGGGTGCTCAGCCCCTCCCAGATCTCATCCAAGGCGACCCCGGGAGTCTTCTCCAGGATGATATATTCCGACCCGCTTTCGTTTGCCGAGTCTGTATTCCAGGCAAGGACGCGGGGAACCGGCAGGGACGTTGACTGACGCACTTGAAAAGTTCATGTCAGCATCAAAGGATCTATATCGCGTTGCGGAGGGGGGGGGAAGCAGACCAAATTTGAGAGTCGCCACTTCAGAGGCGGTCACGAAACGATTTGATCCAGCGATTGTCCGAGGCGTGTTGGTGTTGATAAGAACTTCACGCCCATCATCCATGGTAAGCACGAAGGCCCGGTAGGATTTTCCTTCTATTATATCCACACATCTACAATTGACAGAGCCGTCGTCAAGGAGGGATGAAGCCAAGCGACACACACTGGAGGTATTGGCCTGGGAAGGCATGACTGAGTTGAATTGTTTGGCGGCCATCAACTGCGCTGGAAAAGAGAAGCGAGCACAACGGGCCCAGACTAAGCGAGGCGAATTCGATCGCAGCAGGGAAGGCCGCCTGATGCGCCTTAGCATCGTCTGCTCTCATTGAGAGGTAAGGTCAGGCCTTAGGAAAAGATTGTAGTGCTTTGCTTGCCTTCCAAACCGTGGGGGGTTGTTCCATTCAGCAAATTACTGGCATAGGGGTTAGATACAAGGTGGTAGGAGGAGCGGGGGTGCTCAGGAACATAGAAACAAAGGAACAGAACAGAGGAACAAGGGGTCTGGATCATGTGACATATGCTCAAGAATACAAGAATACTTACTCCGTACTAACCTACAACCTACTCTAAGTATTTTGGTTACGCAATATATACAATTTGTCGCGAAGAGCAAGAAGTACAGTACCTATTGATTACTTATCCGGAAGGAAATGGTCGATGGTGGTGATATCACCATACTCACTACCACTACTACGAACTAATACTCCACAGCTGTCTCCAGAATACGTGGCACTCTTTCTACAAGTGATAGCACCCCCCCCCCCCCAACCAGATGGAAGCTATCCGTAACCAGAATCTCAGCTCCTGGCTCCTTCGAAGCTCCATTGTGAATCCCTTTGACATGGTCAACGGCATCTTCAATTGAGGGCAGCCACACCACCTCCAAGTCAGGATCAAGTTCTTTTCAAGCTGTCGCTAACTTCCTCTGTAAGATCAATCTCTGGAGTGCATCCGGATTGACATTGTGGTTGACCAACTCTTTTGAGTCCATGCTGGTTAACATCGTTTCTTTCAAAGTTCTGCCTGCCATCAAGAGAGCTCATTCACATACCAGGATTGCAGGACTGGTCTTTGTATGTGCTATTCACACGGAAAATCGCGTATTGAAAGACAACACCAAGATTGTCGTATATGATACGATGGACGGTCCTGAGCAGCGCGACAGGGTCCCTCGACGAATGCTGCTGGTTGAAGATGAGCACTCGCGGCAGGTTTTGGGTCCCTGATACCCGTCCAAACCAAGAGCAGGCGACTTCAAGGCTCTCGTGAGTGTGAGCACCATCCAGATACCAGTGATGCTGGCCTGTGACCAGAGTTCGGCATCTCCCTTTCCAATCAAGGTTCTCAAGCCCTTGATCAAACAAAGCAGGAAGTCTGTCGGACTCGCAGCAATCATCGGCAGCAGCAATCCCGAGCCTTGTGAGCACAGTCTCCGTCAACCTAACAGCGAGGGAAGCATTTTGCCTCTGAAAATGCTCTGCAGGCTTGATGTCAAGGCCGCGGATCGCAGAGGGCACTTCAACAATGTTAAGGTGAGTTCCCCTTTCGATGGCTCGTTCCTGTAGCACATCCATTGCCTATGGGACCTGAGGTATCGTGAAGGCCGGGCAACCCTTCTTAAAAATCCCTGCTTTATGCCACGCGATCTGATCGATCGTACTCCCGAGCGCATTGACATGGTCGATTCCGAGGGAGCTGATCCCCGTAGCCGCAGGGTTCGCGAAAACATTGGTGGAATCCCATTGCCCCCCAACTCCGACTTCGTAGATCGCCGTGTCCACTTCCTCTTGCATAAAAACGTGGAATGACATCAGGGTGAGAAGTCGAGCATATGACGGCTTGGGAGCGGTGATACCAGGCCCGCTCCGTGCTACTGCTTTTGCTGCGGTAAGCTCCAGAGCGTTCCAGACCTCCAAGAAGTACTTTGCAAACTTTGCTTCCGACAGGGGCTCGGAGTTGATACGAATTCGCTCGCGCACAGTGGTTAAATGGGGAGAGGTGAACAGCCCAACCTTACAGGGCGTTCCATACGACATGCGGTATTGCTGGAGGATCGAGTCGACATAAGCGCAGGTGGTCCCTTTGCCTTTTGTGCCAGCAACATGAACGATGTTGAGTCGATCCAGATCGCTGATCTTTGAGATTGAGCATTGCATCGCATCATATTAGACAATGCTTTCAGAAGCATGGAGTCAGAAGCAGCCTACCGAATAGCCCAGGCATTCGATCCATGTTCGCATTCGATCCAAAACCGTGCTATTCGAAGAAGAACTCCATCGCGGTCGTCGTTTCCGTAGGTTCTTGAATCCTGTCTGCGTCGAGTTTAACTTTTGAATCGCTTCCTCGTCCGATTGTTAGCTAGAACTTGTCAAAAGGCCAGTTGTTCCTGGGATTGGACGCACAATGTAATTCGGTGCTGGTTCTGCCATATCTGTACGGCTATTGCGTTTTTGCAGCCATACATGTTTACCCCATGCACGGGAGGCAGCAGCAGGCCATTTATGTCGGCACAAGCCCAACAATGAAAGTCCCAGTTTCCGTGAGTTGGATATGGTGTCAAACCTTATTCTCTTTCATCAGCTAGTTATTGAGAAAAAGTCAATATTTTGGGAAAACAGTGAATCCCACAGGGTACAGAGTCGCCATAGAGATTACGAACGAGGTAGCAAACGATTGCCGCCGAATAGCACTGTAGCAGGATGGGGCGAAACAGTGCGAGCTTTTTGAGACAACTTGTTGGTCATTCAGAAATAGCGGTGTGCATTAGTAGGGCATTCGTCCTCTGTGAAAGTGTAGGATGTTTCAGAGCGCTGGATTAGTCTCGTATTCTCAGTGAGGACATCTTTCGTTGTCGGGCTCACTGGCCCAATGGATCGAGCGGCAGCACACGAGGAAGCTCAGGGACTGAATGTCTCACCACGCACTAAGAGGATGTTGGAATCTGCCTCTGCGCCCGTACACGATCTTGCGCCGATGTCATATCTAGTTCGATCTCATTAAATTACAAGGATATCAGAGCCGAGTCAAAAAGCCGTCGTTGACAGTTCGATGGACGGGTTGTTCTTCGGGCTTTAGTAAATTGAGTCATGCATTGTTGAGTTGTAGCTGCCTTCCCGCAACAAAAGTTACGTCTCAAGTTATCCGAGGACTCCAAATCAGGCTTGTAGCTGCACCTTTGTAGTGGTATGTAGCTTGCTAATTCTCTTGAAGCACACCGTTGAACTCCGGTTGGGTCCATGTATTACCTGGATTCGGTCTCTCAACGCCCTGTATTTGTAGATCCCACAGGCGCTACGTCAATTAGTACCATACATCGATCACTCTCCAAGATGATAGACTCACCCAATCCATGTTCGTAGGCGTATCCAACATATCCCCGATGACGTCCAGAGAAGCATAGCCCGGAGTTACGCCATCCATCGGCTGGAAGTCCAGCGCATCTAGCGAGTTTGCACCCTCCAATTGCCAGCTTCCGTATGCCGGGGGATAAGCTACATTATTCTGTCAGAGCAATTTTCAGAGTTCAGGAACTCCGGGCGTACTCACCTGGGCTGGTTGGCTGCTGCTGCTGCTGCTGCTGCTGCTGCTGCTGCTGCAGATCCTCCTGCCCCGAACGCTGCTGCTTCACCCAACGAAGCATGACTGTCATTGCGGCATACCCCAGCTGTGCATCTGCTGACCGTCGACGCATCTTATCGAATATCTCATGTGACATCTCCAACGCCGACAACAGCTCCTCCTGACCCCGGACCACCACCGCGAGATCTTCATTCGTGCTTCCACCGAGCGGGGGCGTCCCCGTGCGCTTATGTGACAATTCCAAACAGATGATCATGGCTGCAAGCAGATAATCTGCATATTGCAGCGCGTTGGGGAAGAGTCTATCCCGGTATAACAGCCCCCCTGGCTGCGTTTCGTGGTGAATATCTGCTTGGTGGCGAAGAATATCCTTCGAGGAGCTCATGCACACCCACCGCGAGTAGGCATAGCGGAGGTTGTTGTGGTCTTCGCCCAGATACCTTCGGTGCAGCACACACCGCGCCTTCAAGTACAATAGCTCCACGGTGTATCGCCGGAAGATGAGTTCGGAGGGATCCGCAAGGCACTGGTTGACAGGACGCATCTTGAAAGTGGAAGGCACCTGATCGTGCGCTTCGTCAAGTTGACGGTCGAGAGCCTGGGTTACCTCGTAGGTAACAGGCTCGCACGAATATGCCAGATCTGAGATTTTGCCGAATATAGTCATGATGCGTGACTTGGCTCGGGTGTAGGACATCAACGTGAATATTTCGTCAGGGCAGGAAGGGGGTAGTTCCTCGGTGCTCTCATCGAAGTCCTCGTCGGATATGTTGCGGGGTAATTCCACGTCATGTTGCCAGTCTTGGATCGTTCTGGGGACGCCGACCTGGAAACTAATCAAAGTGTCCAGTTGTCGGAGAATGGTCCAGACGCGTCGACGCATCTCGCCGTCAAAGGCCGACATGTCGGGGAAATGCTTGGGGTCTCGATGGTAGCCTGCTCGAATGGCCAGGCGGATTGTGATACCGAGGAGAAAGGAAACCCCGACTTGGGCGTCGTCACTCCGAAGGAACTCGCTCATAGTGTAGAGAAACAGTGCCTCGACTTTGTACCTTGCAGGCGCGGTATAATTTGACTGTACAAGACATTGTGCCGTGAGCTTGCGGAACGAATCCTGAGCCTCAGCGGGGTCCTGGGGTGATAGGGGCGTCGGGTCCCCGCTTCGCTGATTGAAGGCAAGCGCCATCGCGATGCAGGCAGATAATAGAGCTAGCCAGGGCAAGGAGACTTCATGCGGGCTGTCCCAAAACTTATTGTACTGCTGCTGTCAGTTGCGATAGTAAGCACCAAGTTGCCTCCCGGGTATTTACCTCTTTTTGAAATGTTGGAATGTGCGTGATGCCTGAAAGCTAAGTATAAGCATGGCTCCTCATTTCTCTGGAGATATTGAAAGAACAAAGAACCCACTGATCACAGGCTCTTTGCTATTGAGCCACTGCGCCACCAGGCGATCAGTCACCGGCCGCGGCGGTATTTGTGCCAACAGCTCCTCCTTTCTGAGGGGCTTGTGCAGTCCTAACAGCAAAGTTGGCGCAGTCACGCTCTTTGTATCATGCTGAGCAAGCTCATCGTCTGAGTGCACATCTTGCTCGCGCAAGTACTCCCTCACTTCGCTGATCTACCCAACAATTAGCTGCGTCTTCCTCAAAAGGGCAGAGAAAAAACAAGAGACTATCGGTAGAAATAACAGATAACATACCTCCTCCAGTACAGCTCTCCAGTGAGCCCCATCAACGTATCTCGTTCCAGTTTCTTGGGCCACAAGCTTCCCCGGAGGGTCAGACGGCGATTCGTCCGGTGTTAGAGGATGGGGCTTTGACGCCAGCCCCGGCGATGGTATACGCTGACTCTCGTCAGTCCCAGTATGATTACCGTGAGCCCATGCCGTGTTCACAAAAGATTCATCTCCTGCGTTAGTCGGTTCCAGACCAGCGAAGTTCATCTCTCCTCGCCCGGTTCCCGCGCCATCGTCATTTGGCCCTGTCGGCTGCTCCATCATCTTCTGCTGCGTTAATGATAAGATCAGATTCTCCAGGTGTTGCAACCGATCTTGAACATGTGTGGGACTCGCGCGCCCTTGCGAGGTCTTGCCTCGCGGTCCGCGGCCGACAAAGGTGCAGGAGCTGGCCTCGCCGCGCTTCCTGCAGTTGGTGCAGGGGTGGACGCGGCAGCATTTCAATCTGGGGAAGGCATTAGTGATCTTTCAGGAGGTTACGGCGTCTCAAGAACAGATGTGAAAGCCATCTTTGGGGCACTTGCTTGCGTGCTCTACATGCTGTACAGGATAGTTGAACGCGGGTGCGTTTGGTTTCTCGGACGGGGAGAGTGTCATGTGGATCTTTCATTTTGAGCGGTGGTGCTCTTGCAGGCAGTGCTTATAAGAATTCTAAGAGAAAGTATGTCTTTTGAAATAAGGCGTTCTGTGCGACATGTGCGCATCTTACGGTAGGATGATGATGAGGTGAGCTTGTGATGGCGAAGTGGGTGGCTTGCGCTATCACCGTCGATAACTAGTCCGCGGTTTATCTCCGCAATAAGTCCGACATACTCGTATACTCGTTCTATACATGGTTTGCCTGCGCCACCAAAGCTTGGGTGAAATAGTCGACTGATCGCTACGGTAAATATCTCTTTTGTAGCTTTATACGTGGTATACTTGAAGATCAAGGGATGAGGGAACTTCTCTTATCAATTCTGCGTGCAGGCTACAACCACACTTGAAAAAAAGGTCTCTTGATAGATATTGTTCTTGAGATAGTGGCAATGATTCCTCACGATGAGCTTGAAGCCTGTAAATAATCAGGCAAACTATCTCTACAAGAATTTCTTTGGAAAAATACGGAGACACTGTTGATGAATTACCAAAATAGACACTGAGCAGAAGTCAGAGCAAAATATACGTTGTATGTAAGATGAGAGGAGATGCTACAAAATGGAGGTTGGGCGGAAATCACAATGATGAAACACATAATTAGCCGACCTAGCATGGAAAGAGACAGGGAAAATAAAAGTGAGTCTGATCAACCACAATCCATATATAAGTACTGTATACAGTATCTGATTCACTGTATGCTGCAGTAGCAACTATAAACCGCGGAACAAAATCCGCCTCGGAAGCGGACCCAACGGGCAAATTGTACAGCACCCCCCAAAAAAAAGCACCGAGGCGCGATCCATCCTCAACCTTCTCGTCCATCGCGCCACAGCCCATCATCAATCAATCCCACGAACCTTCAGAACAACAAGATGCGCATATCACTCCCCACCGCCACGCGGCACCTCAAGCCCACCCCTCGCCAGCTACTATCTCGGGGCACCCAACAACCACTATCAACACTGCCTACACATTCTCTCCGTACCACCACGACGACGACTACACAACCCAGCAGCTGCACCACCACCACCGCCACCCTCACACCCCAGCCCCGATCCTCAAACCCCACAAACCAACAACAACGCCGAACCTTCCTCTCCTCCTTCCTCCCGGGGAGCGGCTCCAATGGCTCCGACAACGATTCCTCCTCCCGCACCCGCCGCCTAACCGCCACCCGCACCCTCCCCTACTCCCCCGCCCCTCTCTTCGAAGTCATCTCCGACGTCCAATCCTACTCCTCCTTCCTCCCCTTCCTCACGGCTAGCACCGTGACGCACCGCGACCCGGCGACCCGGTACCCGACGCGCGCCTTCCTGACGGTGGGCTACGGCCCGCTCAGCGAGACCTTCACCTCGAAGGTGGATTGCGACCCCCAGCGGCTGACGGTCACGGCGCAGAGCGGGGCGCGGTTTGGCGTGGCGAAGAAGGATGGGCAGGATGTGAGTTCCGGAGGTAGTGGAAGTGGGTTTGGGTTCCCCGGGGCGGAGGAGGGCATCTTCGAGTATTTGAGTACCAAGTGGGAGCTGGCGGATGTCACGGCGGAGATAGGTGGGGGGAAGAGCATGACGCGGGTGCATTTGGAGATTGGGTTCGAGTTCAAGAACCAGTGGCATGCGACCATGATGAGTGCGGTTGAGGGCCAAATGGCCGGGGTCATGATCGAGGCGTTTGAGAAGAGGATGGGGGAGGTGGTTGGGCGGTGATACTGGTTGATATCAGGCTATCGTGACGGGTGGACACATATGATAAGAAGATGCTCATGCTCTTTTGTTGGCAAGATATAATAAGGTATAATCAAGGGAGACTCTCTTTTTGTCTATATTCCAAGGGGGAAATGCTTGTACTTGATTAGACCATAAATGCCAAAGAAAAAAAAAAGAAAAGAAAGAGAACCCATGTGTATAATACAATTTATCAGACCATCATCCGGATAGGAAGGAAAAGGAAGAAACTACGACATCATGCCCAGACTGCGCGACCAGGCGGTGTTAGTGTTGCGCACCCCCCGGTTGACGCTGATCTTGTCGTAGTTGTCCGCCACCACCTCCCAGTTGATCCGGTCCCACCACCGCTCCAGGTACTCCTCCTTGCCGGCGATACCGTAGTCCATCATCCACACGTGCTCCCAGGTGTTGACACACAGGATGGGCTGTACATCGATGGCTCCAGGAGCCATGATCTTCTGGTTGGGCGAGTGGGCGCCCATCGCGCCGGCGTACTGGTTGCCCACCGGGTCGTCGGGCGTGTGGGTGGCCATGTCGACTGCTTGGCGGCGCGAGTGCGCGGCCGGGTAAGGGGAGCCGGCGTTGTACGTGCAGAAAACGTGCAGCATGCCCTCGCGCTCCAGGTTCTTGGCCAGCCAGACGAAACCGGGACCGAACATCGCGTTGGCCGTGGCCAGGAAATCGAGCTTCAGCGACTCGACCGACGAGCACGTTTCTGTGATGACTTTCTCGAGCTTCTCCGGCATCTCGGTTTTGGCGGGGGACTGTTTGTTTCTGCGATTAGGCTTTGTGCTTGCGGTCTAAGGACGGATTCGCTCAGGGTCTGAGTCGTACCAGGCAGTTGAAGAAAAAGTGGTTGTTGTGAGCCATTGAGGCGTAGTTGAAGACGGAGGCCATTTCCGCACGCCGGGAGTACTTGACCAGCAGTTCTCCGGGCTTCGCGTCGGCATCGATGGTGTCTATTGGTCCAGATATCATTAGAGTCCGAGCGTGTTTCACAGGCCGAGCAAGGTCCGCGGAGCTGGCACTCACCCTGCGTCAACAGGTTCAGCTTATCGACAAGGAGGGCTTGGTATTGCGTCCAGGAAAAGTCGAACGCCTCTGGTGACATAAACTCCTCGATACCGTTGGACTTGTAGTCGGTCTCGTAGGCGAGTTGAGGCACACGGTGGATTGCACGGCTCTGGATGCGTGGGAGCGCGGAGGAGACGGGCTTCTGTCCGCAGTGTTAGTTGAGGCGCCCAATCAGCCGGAAAGACAGAAAAGAGCTCACCGCAGTGAGGGAGGAGGCTGCACGCAGCGCAGACTGCGGCCGGAGGAGTCGGTTCAGCATGATGATCTGGGGGGGTGGAGGTATATGGTCAGGGAGGTCGTGCTTGACAAGCAGCAATTGAGTCCAAACCGCAGAATTTCCTCCGCTCCAGATTGAGAGATTCCCTTATTGAGGTTAGCGTGGATGAGGTAAGCAGGCGCCAACACTGGCCAATCAGCGGACCGCGATTTACTTCTGCGTCAAACCGCCCAGCTTGAAACAACAATATTCAACTTAGAAAAGTACTACCTTACACACTACCTACTAGGTACGGTACAACTACCTACGCGCCGGACTATCTGGTAATCTGCAACGGTCAATCAGACTTCTCGTCCAGTCCGAGCCCAAAGGCCCCGTACTGGCGCCTACACATCTCTTCATCATTAGTCCGTCGGCCATGAGCCCCATTCTTCGTCCCTATTCTGGGACTCGGCGCCTGCTACCTACCCTCCTGGATCCTTAGATCCTGATAGTATGATGCGGGCAGAAAAACATTGGGCAGCATGTTGCGAGCAGCGGGAGGGAGATCTTCTTCAGGACTTGCTTCTCCTGCAAGACACTTTGAAGCGCTCTTTGTCTGGGACTGGCTCGTCTCGTTCGTTTCTTCCACTTTCAAACCCATTGTCTTAGACACTCTCTTTCACTGAAGCACGACACTCTTTGACTCCCCATCCGACCATTGTCCAGCCGATATACCAGCAATAACCCTCGTACTCTCCTTTCTTCCCTCTTCCCTGATTTCATCATATTGCAAGAAGTTTCTATCAGGTCCTCTCTCGTGCCAACCATCACGATGATCACGCACAAGGGCAACTCGTCCAAACTACTACTATTATTCGGGTTGCTCGCTTCAACGATATCGCCAACGCAGGCCGTTGGCATCCTGCTGCCACGAAGCAGCGACACCTGTCCCAGCGACTACACACACTGCTCGAGCAGCGGTCTTCCCAGCACGTTCTGCTGCCCCAGCAGCTCCACGTGCATCAGTCTCGACGACGCCAGCTCCGCCATCTGCTGCCCAGCCGGGCAGAGCTGCGACTACATCGAGCCCATCACCTGCGACGTGCAGCTCCAGAACGCGACCGCCCACCCCAAGAACAGCGTCCACACCACCCGCCTCGACGATAGCCTGGCCAAATGCGGCTCGAAATGCTGTCCCTTCGGCTACACCTGCACGGGGGACTCGCTGTGCAGCATGGACACATCGACCGCATCGACCGCAACCGCATCCAGCTCCAGCGCCGCATCCACCTCATCAACCACCACCTCAAGCACATCTTCCTCCCTCGCCACCGCCATCTCCGCCACCGACCCGCGCGTCTCCCAATCCTCCGCCTTAGACAACACCAACACCACCACCAACGCAACAGCAACACAGCTGAGTAAATGCCCGCAGTACCCAACAGCCGCGGTCCTGGCAGGCTTCTTCCCCGGCGCCCTCCTCGGCGTAAGCGCCACCCTCCTCTCCCTGCTGCTGTACCGCCACCACCGCCGCAAGAACCTGCCGCCGTCCGCCAAGATCGCCCAGTTCACCCACCGATCGTCCAAGGGCACCCTCATCGGGATCTCCTCGCCCATGCCCTCCGAGGAGACCGCCTACCGCACCGACTTCCTCCTCCGGCGGACGCAGTCGCGGGCCTCGAAGGCCACTACCACCAGCGGCTCCCGGGCCCGGTCCCGGTCGCGGTCTCGCTCGATGATCCAGAAGACCGGCGGCAGGGTCCGGAGTCTGTTCAACCCCCACAATCCCGTGTACCAGCGAGAGGGCACGACCGTCAGGGGGGTTGGTGGTGGTGAGATGGCGTTGGTGCCCGAGAAAGGAGGTAGCGGTGGTCGAATCCCCGTGCCCGTGCCACCGTTGCCGCTCAACATCAACGGGAGCCTCGTGGTGAAGCAGTCGCAGCAGCAGGAGGGGAAGGGCGGCGTGGCGACCTACAGCTCGGCGCCGGTGATCCCGGCGTTGCGCAGGACGGAGAGTATTCGGGTGTATACGCCGCCGGGCGTGTTTGCGACCACGGGGGTCCTGAAGCCGGACGCGTACCCGACGAATCCCAGGGCGATGGAGGCGTTTTCGGAGGACCCGGAGGGTGGTCCGGGTGGTGGGGGGTTGAGTAGAGGGAATTCGAGGTTGGGGTCGCAGCGGAGGTAGATGATCTCATGGTTGTATGTTGGAGTGAGTGTATGTATGTATACTGCTGATTCTGTGGTGGTATTCTGAGTATAGCGTTGTTCTTGTTTGACTTTTTGGCCTTGGCCTGTCTTTAAACAGGTTGTTGTATGGCTTAATCGTAATAATTGTGGTTATATGTTCTAGCGAGGTATTGCTTCTATGGTGGTATGCTTTGCTCAGTAAGAAAAAAATAAACATGATGGAATAAAACTATATACTGTACAGATCCGTGTTTTTCAATTAGCCTTCCTGGCCTTCCGCAAGGCGATGGCCTTCTTGACCTCCTTTAGCAAGCCGACAATGAGGGGAACGCCAATGGGGCCCAACAGGGGCAGATACACGGCCACCTTGTGCTCATCCGGGAAGTACATCTGGCCCACCATGCTCTTCTCGAAGAAGCTGCGCTCCGCTTCCGTCTCGGCGATCCGAGCATCCGCCAGCGCGGCCTGGAACCGGCCCCGTCGGAGATGCTCACAGGCTGAGGTCAGATGCGAGAGGGTCGTGGCCACGGAGGCAGCGACGGTAGCAGGGATGGGGATGGAGGGAAGAGACTCGGTGAGGCGGGCGAGGGAGCCCATGGTAGAGGATGCAGAGAGGAGCAGACTGGCGGCCCGAATGCGGGTGAGTGTCTGTAGACGGAAAGGCAGCGCAGCCGGGGTGGAAGGTGCACCGAGAAGGGTGAGAAGCTGGTGGGAAAACGTTAGGAAAGGGGCCTGAAGCGAACCGCGCGATAGATGCCGAAGCTGGGTGCCGTTGGAAGGGTTGAGAAGCACAACGCCGCCCCATTGAGGCACGACCCAGCTCGTAGCTAGACTGTCCTTGACCACCAAGGGGGATTGCGCTGCATCAGGCACATAGAGAATAAAGTTAATGGTTGGGCCCGGGCCAATGCTGGGACTGAGAGGCCATTCGGCCGCGTTGATGAACGCGCTGAGGTCTTCGGGCTTCAGGGTCCAAGCCGCGTGGCCTTGGTCGTATTCGGGCGCCGGAGCCGTGGGTGCAAACGTCGCGTATAGCTGGACTTGGGTGTCAACAGTAAAATTGCTGATTGGAGAGAAGGCCTGCAGCAGTGGGGTGATATAGTCGTGGACAGCGGCCTGAATGTCCCACGAGGAGGGCTCTGTGCCGGGAGTGAACAAGGAAAAAGCGAGGTGATAGGTATCGGCGTATTTCATCGAGCGCCGGAGGCGCTTGGCGATGCTCTCCGCGAGCTGAGGGGAGACGGAGGAAAGCATAGCCGAGGGCGGCTGGCTGTTGGCGGTCGCACTTGCTGCATGGCTGTTCGACAGGATCTGCGCGATGATGGCCTTCTCTTCCGTGAACAGCTGCTGAAGTTCACCCGCGATGTAAGCGGACAACGGTGGGTTGGATGATGACAGGGGCGGTATTTGGCTTGGCGAGTAAAAGACGTCGAGCTGGGTAGTATCGTGCTGGAGCTCGGACTTGGGGTTAATCAGATCGTCCTGTGGTAAGAGGCGCACTGTCAAGGCCGTGTCTGCCAGTTCATCCAGCTGCTCATCAGCATTATCGTTCGATAGCTTCAGCCGCAGATGATGTGCGGAGAACTCATTCAAGTCGTCGAGGGTATGTTGTGTCGTCCGGACCAAGTGCTGGGCCTCTGCGTCAGGTAGGTGAGGCGTCTCGACTCGAATTTTAAGGGGGAAAACAGGACGACAGGTCTAGATTTGAAGAGACACCAGTCAGCCAGGTACGCATCTTCAACGGCCAGGCATTACATACCTTCCCATCGGCCCAATCAATCATTTCCGGGACAGGCAAGGAAGCTCGATAGATCGATGTGGTCTTCCACCAGATCGGGAATCCCAGGAAAACAATCACAGCCCAGAAGGCTGCAATGACCTTGAATCGCGTCCGGATAGCCTCTGGCTTCTCCGGGGGCGGCGGACGCGGCGAGGGGGTGCTGACATTCATGGTATAATCGGGGTGGGTATCGACGGTCTGTAATGATGACAGGTCTTCATTCTTGGCGATCATGACCAGGACATGCTTTGAGGAGGGCGACGTAACCTGGTACAGGACCAGATGTGGGAGAGTGGGAGGGGAGTTGGAGTTGTTGGAGTTGATGCAAGCTGGAGTTGCGGAGAGGCGGGCGGAAGGCGGAGAGGGGGGCCACCAGTTGGCGGCGGTCACGAGGAGGACGGTGTAACACGTCCATCACTACTAGGGAATCTTGTTTGGTTCAAATCAAATCATATTGGGTATCTATTCAATGCGCCAATCCATGCAAGAAACTACAAGACAATAATCCCACCGCTAATACTCCTTTTCGAAGATCTTCTGGATGGGCTTGGCGGCCTGCCAGGGGTTAGCAACATCGCCCGAAACTCACCAGGACAAAGACTTACGTCGATAAAGCGCTCCAAGTCCTGGTCCAGACTGGCCAAATCCTCCTTGCGTTTGTTGTTTTCCGCAATCAATGCCTGTTTCCGCTTCAGAAGCTCTTGCCGCGCCTGCTCCAGCTTCTCCCGTTCGGCATGTTCGTGGTTGATGCGAGCGATCATGAGATCGTGTTCGTCCGATTCACGGTGCTCGGGATGCAACGATAGGAATTCTTCGAGCGGGATCAGGGGAAGGGCAAGGTACTTGTGACTGCGACAGTGAGGTCAACATCCGGTCAGTTCTTTTGGTGGCTACGCCAATACATACTCATAAGACTCGCACGCAGCTATTTCCCCCGTCAGGTGCCGTTGTTCGTAGTAGAGATTCTGAAGTTGCAGGTGTAAGCGGTCGATTTCCTGGCGGGCCTCTGCGGTCGCCTGTTTCGTGTCTCGGACGCGTAGAATAGCATCGCGGTTGAGCCCACGCAGACGGGCCAGAAGAGCGAACAGCTGCTTCTGTTCCTTGGACGCAGCTAGGGCGCGTTCTTCGGAGTCAGAGTAGGAGTCAGCCGAGGGGTCGAGCACGGCAAGCAATTGCATGCATTGCTCGCGGGTCTCGGCGCTCAAACTGAGCACCGGCAGCAGGGACGGGTTGACGACAATGTCCCGAATGGCCATGTTGAGGGAATTGCTGTGCGTCAGGTGAAAGTAACAGCTGGCTGCCACTGCAAAAGTGAAGTACGGTGGGTGGTTCGTTGAAGGGTGGCTGGTGGCGAGAGCGATAAGAATGACCCAACGTGGAGGCAAGCCGGGCGCTGATGGGCTGAAGGGAAGACTGACAGCAGGAAGGCGGCGAATAGAAGAACCAATCCTTGGATGGACAAGGAGACGGAGTAGTTCTTAGCAGTTCAGCCTTACTCAGTAAAAAGTGGACATCTGCTAAGTGGTAAGAGTACGCAGTAATTGAAGGGTTGGCGGGGAGGGGAAAAAGAGAGATTATTGATGGGATTAATATTGTTCGGTTCCCCTCTTCTACTTCTGTTTCTTCTTCCTCCTCCTCCCCTTCTTCTCCTCTCCTCTCCTCTTCTCTTTCTCTCCTCTGATCGTTCCCCTAATATCCAATTCCCTCTCCTCCTAAGAGGTGTCTCTCCTTTTCTTTTAGGGTCATTATCATTACGGTTCTCTTTCCCTTTTCTTCCTCTCCACTCCACTCATCTAGGCGCTTGTCCCTTGCAGCCCCCCCGAATTTCTCTAGTTTGTCCAACTTGCAGCTGTATGTTCTGCTTCGGTCGTCCCGCCGATTCCCGATCGTCCCGATCTCCACCCCCAACCTTTGGTCTTTTCCCCCACTGACTTTTCCCCTTGTTTTCTCCCTCTGTTCCAGGATATGCGATTCGATCTTCTCAACTAGCTACGGGTTCAATTGACGGTCGAAACGGTATACGGAACACCATGGCCTGCTCTGCGCAATCGATGACCATCGAGTCGTATCCCGAGGCAAACACATCCGCCTACACAACAACCCCCTCTGAGGAGACCAGTTTACTGCGCGACCGTCGGCGGCGCCACTCGTTCCACACGGCTCGAAAGCTGTCCTTAGATTACGACGCAGATGCGGTGTTTCTGAGAGTATGCACTCGCCGAATCCCCTTCTGGTGCATGGGATTTTATCTGACGGGGGTCTAGGTCGAACTTTTTCTGACGGAGCTGGAGCGACGAATGCTGTGGATCGAGCAGTATGGCAAGTCTCACATGGACCAGATCGATGCCAGCCTTCGTCGCGGCTACGCCACCCTGGAGGCCGTGCGGGACTCGTGCTCTCACGCTTCCGGAGAGCTCATGGGCAGCGGCAAGAAGCGCGCCAAGATTCTGGTGGACACCTTGGAGGACCGCTACAAGGATGCTCTCGCCACGAAGGAAACATTAGAACAGAAGGCTCAAGCCGGTGTCCGCCTCATGGAATCTTTTCTCGTCGAGCTGGAGTCTCGTGCTCACGCCGGATGGGACCGTGGGTTGGACGGCGCGTTGGATGGGGCGTGGAAGGCGATGGACTCGAGCTTGGTGCATGCCCGGGAGGTGGTCGACGAGGGCATGGAGCGCGCGCGTCGGGCCAAGGAGGCAATGAAGGAGAACATCGACCGGGCGATCCTGCTGGCCCAGGAGAAGCGGTTGATCGGCTATGCAGACCTCCCGCAGCCGTGGCGGGTGAACCCCCACATTCTCGAGGGATACCGGTTCACGCACTCGAAGGTGGAGTGCTTGGCCTCCATGTTCACCTTCTCCAACGAGCTGGTCAACATCTGGTCGCATCTGATCGGGTTGTTCATCGTGCTCTCTGTGGCTTTCTACTTCTACCCGCTGAACCCCAACTTCCACCTGAGCACCAAGACGGATGTGTTGGTGGCCGCCGTCTTCTTCTTCGCGGCGTGCAAGTGTCTGGTCTGCAGTACCTTGTGGCACACGATGAACAGCATTGCCAGCCAGACACTGATGGAGCGGTTCGCGTGCGTGGACTACACGGGGATCTCGATGCTGGTCGCTGCCTCGATTGTGACGACCGAGTACACCGCCTTCTACTGCGAGCCCGTGTCGCGGTGGGTCTACATCCTGCTGACGATGTCCCTGGGTATCGGCGGAGTGATCCTGCCGTGGCACCCGACCTTCAACCGGGCGGACATGGCGTGGGCACGGGTGGCGTTCTATGTGTCGCTGGCTCTGACCGGGTTCGCCCCGCTGGCGCAGCTGACCTACACGCGGGGCTTCTTCTGGTGCCTGTACTTCTATGCGCCGGTGGTGAAGAGTGTCCTGGTGTATTTCGTGGGCGCGTGTGTGTATGCGTCGCAGGTGCCGGAGCGGTGGCGGCCCGGACTGTTCGACTATGTGGGCGGCAGCCACAACATCTGGCACCTTGCGGTGCTGGGCGGGATTCTGTTCCATTACCTCGCGATGCAGGATCTGTTCGCGGGAGCGTTCAAGCGGGCTCAGGGGGAGTGCCCGAACATGGTGAACTAGAGGACGATAGAGGAGTATAGACTTGCAGGTTAGTTTCTTGACTTCTTGTACATATTGGAGTTGGTTGTGGAATTGTGGATATACAAAAAGTCTAGCCGGCTTAGATTGTTGCGACTCTGGTGCTATTTTTAAGCTATTTCAATATTTCCAATATATGATTCGCGCGGAGGAACGAAGTGAGCAACTTCGTAGTTAGTGTACTGAAGGCAATTGCGGAGAGGTCCCGAGACAGCGTTGATGGCGATGGACGATCATTATATCCGGAGATTGACGCTGGCGGTGAAAACATGCTTGAGTCGACGCCCCTCAATCTATCTGTTGGAAATGTCTCGGCGGTGGATTGCCTGATTGGGATGTTGAAATATGCTTAAGCCGGGGTGCCTCGACTAACCCTTTTAGGCCACTCTGTGTCTAGACTGCCTTTGCCTTTGCCATGGTGAGCAACATGAATATCAGGAGGCAAATGAACCTGAAGACAATGAGAAAAGTCTTGTCCCGAGACTCTCCTGAGCCTCCAAGTTTATAGTCATGACCGGTTCAGTACTATTCCTCATGAAGTGGACTGCCCATCGCCCACCCATCCTATCGTCAGTTCAGAGTACTGTACTGTACAAAGCACACCACCACCACCACTACTACCACCACCAACCCTCACCACCTTCTCAACCCATCACCCATCACCCCTACCCTTCACCCCTTCCACCGAAAAGAAAAAAACCCCACTCCCACCCCCGTCCCCGTCCCGAAATGAAGGTGATCGAGTGTCAAACGCCCGAGTGGGCAGCGGCTCTCCACCCGGGGCCACTAACGGGTTTCATCGGGAGCCTGGCCGCAATCAATCCCAAACCGAGCCCTAAGTTGAGTGAAGCATATAAGTAGGTTTACAGGGTCTGCAGCACCCGCCCCAGCGCCATGCTTTTTGTTTTTTTTCTTTTTCGGTCGTTATCAACCAAGATCTGTGATCTGCGGTGCTCTGCTATCCTTTCCTTAGAGCTGTGCTCGTTCCGTTCTCTATCTAGAGTACTCAACTCGAACTGTTGAATCTATACATTCTTTAACTTCCGTTCTTTTATCACTCTCGTTGTGGATAATACCTGCCGTATCACCATCACCATCACCATGAAGCTCACCACCTCCCTGGCCGTCAGCGCTCTTCTGGCCGCGGGCACCGCGCTGGCCGCGCCGCATGAGGCCCGGCCGCAACGCCGGCAATTCGGCGCCGGCGGCGATGGCGGTGGCGTTGGCTTCCCCGGCGCGGGCGGCGTGGGCTTCACCAGCGGCGGCAAGAACCCGGGCCAGGGTCAGGGCCAGGGCCAGCCGTCGGTCAACTGGGGCACCGCCGCCGCCGTCCCCAGCGCCAGCACTGACTGCAGCGGCAGCAGCGGCAGCGGCAGCAGCAGCAGCAACAGCAACAGCCAGCAGCTACAAGCGACCCCAACCGCGGCGCCGACCAGCTACACCCCCAACACGGCCGCGCCCACAACCACCAGCAGCAGCGCCCGCGTGACCCACGGCGCAAGCAGCAACAACGCAGTCAACTACCAAATCAACGAGAACTGGGCGGGGGCGGTGCTGGAGTCTGCGCCGGCGGCGAGCGCGACGTACACGTACGTCGCGGCGACGTTCACGCTGCCAGCGGTGACGCCGACGGCGGCGGCCAGCAGCGCGGACACGCAGGCGGTCTCGTTCTGGGTGGGGATCGACGGGGCGACGGGGGGCAACTCGATCTGGCAGACGGGGGTGGACATCTACGTGGACAGTCGGAACGAGACCTCGTTCGCGGCGTGGTACGAGTGGTACCCGCTCAACTCGGTGGACGTGGCGATGGACTTCGCGATCGGGGACGTGGTGTTCGCGTCCGTCGAGGCGACGAGCAGCACGGCCGGCACGGCGGTCATCGAGAACCGGACCACGGGCAAGAAGGTGACCATGCATGCGACGGCGCCGAGTGAGAGTGCCAAGCTGACGGGCCAGAATGCCGAGTGGATTGTCGAGGATCTCGCCGTCGATGGGGACGGGTTGACGCTGCTCGGCTTTGCGGATGCCGTGTTCACCGGCTGTGTCGCCAGGACTGCGGATGGGAAGAGCTATAACCTCGACGATGGGGCGGCGCTGTATGCTGTTCAGGATACCTATAGCTCGAGTGTGCAGGCTGTGCCCGAGATTCTGGGCAGTGGGGAGTTGCAGGTTACTTATCAGTAACTTAGCAAAGGTTGTGGTGGGGGGGAGGGGAGGGGGTGCAGAGGTGCAGAGGTGTATAGGTGTGTCGTATAGTATAGCGGTGACGGTGGATACTGCAGTGGTTGTTGATAGTCCTGGATATAGGTGTCATTATTCTATTGAAGCTTGAAGCTATACCGCACGCACTCCGTCATTAGTAGCTTGACCTAAGATTAATCAGTCATATATTAAAGAGGCATGCTTTGCTTGCCGGATATACAGACGCATCCCTCACACCTCACCTCAAACTCACCCATGCGTTCCAAAATCAACCCAACCAACACCGAACACCATCCCAGTCCCTCACCCTTATCCTAACCCATAACCCCACCCCAACCCCCCAAAATCAATCATACAGATCCCCCCACCCCGCACCCCTCCCTCTATCACCCCTTCCCGAACCCCAAACCACCACCGCCCTCGGCGCCGCAATCTGCACCATCTCCTCGGTAGACCGCCTCCCCAACCCAGCACCACCGACAACACCACCAGCAACACTCCCCCCACTACTCCCACTACTACTACTACTACTCCGCCCAGAATCCGACATCAACGACGGAACAGGCGACATCGTCCTCTCCGACGACGAGGACACCCCCACACTCCGCGGCGAGTACGGCGGCGGCGGCGTCTCGCGCGTCGCGGTGGAGGTGTTCCCGTAGCTGCTGGTGCTGGGGAAGGAGAGCGTCGACGAGGTGTCGCTGTCGGTGTCCGCGGGGGTCGGGTCGAAGAGCCCCGTGGCCGTGTGGTAGTATGGGGG